CTTCTTCGCGTTGTTTTAAAAGAGCATCTCTTCCAATAAAATTTATTCCTTTCTATTAAACATATAGCTTTGAAATGTTATTTCAATACAAAAATTTATAAATTTATTTATAAATTATATAAATTGTAAAGATACCTACATCAAGTTTTACTCTCCAAGTTCGTCCACATTCTAAAGGAGTAGTAAAGGTATCTAAATCTTGACCCCAAAATGCATAAAATTTTTCAACTCGTAAAGCTCGAGTTGCATAGTAGCCAGCATGTTTTATCCCATATTTAGCACCAGCATCTACTAATCTTGTATAAACATGTAATGCAAACTACAAATGCATAATATATAAATATTATAATATTAAATAAAATAAAAATCACAATTTAAAAAAAATATTTTTTAAAGCGTAATATTTACTTCATTTGGAATATATAAAACATAGCCAAGTTCTCCAGTATGAGTTAAATTCATTGTACGTATTCCATTAGCAAGACCAACATCTAATTCCTTTTAAAAAATATATATAATACATTAAATAAAATTAAATATGAATTATTATTAAAATTATTATAAAATTAAATAATAATTACTTTAAATGTAAAAAATGGGAAATTTTTTGGATTTAGATCAGTATCTGTTAATTCTGATAATAATTGTCTAGTACCAGGACCCATAATACAAATTGCTGTATATGCTGATGTTACATCAGATACTGCTACAGAACCATCTACAGGTAAATGACGATTAATCCAATATTTACATCGAGTTTGTTGAATAGTAGGTGCAATCATCATGTAACTTAAATATCAAAAAAGTAATTATATAAGTTAATAAGTAATTTATATATATAATATATATATAATTATATAAGTAATTATATATAATAATAAAATAAATTATATAATTATATTTTTTATCAATATATATATATGATTTATTTGCATAACTTACTGATTGAAAGCAATTCGTGCTAAACTGCAATCATTTTCATAGCCTCCATGATAATTTTGTACACCTGTATGAATAATACTTCCTACTGGAACATCTACATCATTTGAACATAAGTATTGTAAAAAATTTACTACTTCCATTCCATTTGACTAAAACAACATATGAATTAAAAAATTATTATTATATATCTAATCTAATTAAGATTTATAATATAGATATATTAATATATATTATTTTATATATATTATATAGTATTTATAATATAGATATATTTTTTATATATTTATAATATAATATATTTATATCTATTTATAATAATGAATCATACCCATAAATCAATTTTAGTAAAAGAAGAATAATCACTTAATCCAATGAATTCACGACATGCAGCATATTCATTTGAAACTGACTCAAACCATGGAGGTTTACTAAATGTATTTGTGTATGCTACTTTACATCTTTGAAATCCATCAATTGTCTCTAAATCTGTGTAGCAAAGTAATCTGTATAATAAAATCCAGTATCTTTTTTTATAATACAAATATAGTAATAAATAATATTATATTCATAAATTATAGTTTTTTACAAAATTTAATAAATCTACCATTATCATCATTTAATTGAAACCAAGATGGTCGTTCGTATCCCATTACTTGGCCAAATATAGCTCCAGCTTCTCGAAGTTTTGGATAAATTGGAGACATTCTTAAATTTCTACCAGTTTTAAATTCATGATGTGGATATTGTAAAGCATAATGCATTCCAGGAACTTCTTTTACTCGATCACGTAAAAATTTACGATTGTTATGAAGTCCCAAAAAGCGTGATACATCTAATTCATATACATCTAAAGATGTTGAACCATTAACTATTAATTCTGCAGTTGCTCGACCAACTCCACCTGCTGCTGATATACCCACCTAAGAAAATTTTATATTATTTATTTATGAATAAACTTTAATTTATTTTCACTTACTGTTTTCATACCAGCAGCAATATAATAATTGCGTATTTCTGGTGCTTCACCAACTATCCATTTACAATCTGGAGAAAATGCTTCAGGACCATTACATAATTTTTCTAAAATTGCATTTCCTAAACTTGGAATTCTATAAAGCATTTGTTCAAGTAAAATATGAAAATGGTCCCAATCTTCTGGTAAAAATCTTTCTTCTGTACTTTCTAAATTTTTTTTATATTTATATAAAATAAAAATTTATTTTATATTTTTTAAATTTATATAAAATGAATAATAAATAAAAATCTATAACTTACCAGGTATTGTTCCATCTTCAAATGCTGGTTTTGCAACTGGTTCAAAACCACCAGCTAATAAACTTCCATTATTTTCACGAAAATAAATATATCCATCTAAATCTCTTATAACAGGTGTCATAGGATCTAAATCATTAATTGATTTTGTATGCAAATAATAATGTTCTACAGGATGAAGAGGTACCTACAAAAAACATATAGAATTTAAATTATTTAATAATTATATTTTTTTCATTATTATTTATAATAGAAAAAATATTTAACCTTCACATATGGTTCACTTAATTTGCCTACATTACGTGCCCAAAATCCAGCACAATTAACAAAATGTTCACATTCAATAGTACCATGATTTGTTTCTACAGCTTTAATTCTATTATTTTGTGTAACAATTTTAGTAACTTTACAGTTTTCAAATACTTTAACACCTAAAAAAAAATTATCTTGTAATTTAATCATAATATGAAAGTAAAATGCAAATACCTTTTTTTCTTGCCTCTTCTATTAATGTTAAACAAATTTTATATGGATCTCCTACACCATCTCCTGAAATCCATAATCCACCAATTAAATCATCTATTCGTAATAATGGACATATTTCTTGTATTTCTTTTGGTGTAATTAAATTACATTCAATATTGTAGGATCTAAAAATATTTATATTATCAATTATAGTTTATTATAATTATCTATATAATTACAATTATTAATTACTCACATAGATTGTGCTTTCATTCGTTTGAATACAGTCATACGATCTCTTGTACGTGCTAAAGAAAGACTACCACATTGTTTCCATCCTGTTGATAAACCTTTCTCTTCTAATTCTTTATATAATGCTATGCTGTCTTGGGCAAGTTTAACTTGTGCTAAACTTGGCTTAAAAGCTCCTACTAATCCTGAAGTATGCCATGTTGTTCCTCCTCCTAATCTAAATTCAACAATAATCAAAATAAATTTTTCATAAAATATAAAATATTTTAAATTAAAACATATTACAAAATTTACCTGCCACTTTCTATTATAACAGTTTGAGATCCTAATCCCATAAGTGAAAGATGATAAGCAACTGCACCACCCATAACACCACCTCCACATATAACAACTTTTGTTTCCTTAGGAAGATCAACATCTTCATTTGTTATAGTAGATTTTGAACTACTATGTCTTATTCTTTTATTACAATTATAAAAAACAAAATTATCCCATTTAGTTATAAATTTATTACAAAATAATTTCGAATGATACCACATTGTTATAGAATATATAACTAAATTTAATATTCCTTACTAATTTGTATATAAAAACAATATAAAAACATAAATTTTTACATAATATAAAATTTATAAATCATCACATTTCTACTAAGGTTAGATTGTTATAGAACGCAAGACGATTTACTGCGATATTGTCGTCTCATACTTATTTTAAAATATCATTAAAAGTATTAAAAATAAAATTTAAAATCTTTATTAGAGTTTATATATTTTCATAAATGTAATCATTTCTTACTTTACTTAGTATATTTCAATTTATTATATATATTATTATAATTAATTTATCAATTTATCCATTTTATATTTATTTAAGTTGCAATTTTAATCTTATATAAAAATAAAAATATAAAAAAATTGAAAACTTAATAGTTAAAAACAATATGGGTAATTCAGAAAATTAAATTCATTTCATATTTCATTTATAATAATGCTATTTCTATAAAATACAATATTTATTTATAAAAATATATTATAAAAATTATATAATAATTAATTTTTGATTAAAACAAATAATTAAAACAAATACTATATATTTATAAAAAAAATAAAAATCATATTATTTTATTGAAAATAAATATTTTGTACAATATTATACTAACAAAATATTTTATAAAAAGTATAAATATTATATAAATATATAAGAATATATATATATCATATATTTCCATTTATATTGTTACATTGTTATTTTTATTAAAAATTAAAAATGGGTATTAATTATATATAATATACATCAATTTTATCTTATATTGATATTATTAATTAATATTTTATTTTTAAAATATAAACTTTTAATATATATATTATATTAATTATAAAGTATTTATTTTGTCTAAAAACATACAATTTTTATAACCATTGTAAAAAAAACAGTAGTGCACATCATTTCCAAAAGATATGTATTTTTAATATATTGTTATTAATATATTGTGTGTATATATATATTAAATTAAACTTTTAAATATAAGATATAAATTGTGTAAGTTCAATATTTTTAACAATTTAAAAAAATAGATTTTTAATTATATTTGTTGTCAATCATTAATACATTAAGTAAAGAAATATTTATAACATTTATGTATCCAACAAAAATAATATTCAAAATTCTTTCAATTAAGAAGTAATTTATATATATGTTACATATGAAAATTTATGTATACTTATTATAAACATAATTATTAATAAATTTTATAATCATTTGTACATTTGATTCAATTATTTTGTATTTTTTAATGAAAAAGTTTATAAGCATATCAGCAAAATTAATCTTTAGGAACTTTTTCATTTAATATTTAAATCCATATTATTATTGACTTCTTTTAAAAGTGTTAAGTATCAAATATATTTGTAATATCATATGCAACTTTGCATTGTGCATTTACATATCAAACTTCTATGTGAAAAATATTTAACTCTGATTGTGTATATTTAAAATATTTGAAAATATTTTTTAATAAAGATTAAAAATTGTTCTATATCATATATCAATATAATGCAACTTTCAAATAGTTTTAAAATAAAATGCAATAAATATTATTGTATTACTTTATCTCCTGTAACGTCCCAAATAAGCTTTACAATTAGGACAACTATGATGAACATCCATACATTCATCAATACAGCATGGAATCAAACAGCATCCAAACCAGCATCTTGAAAATTACATGAAAAATGATATATAAGATATTTAATCAATATTAAATTAATGAATGAAAAAAAATATTTCTAAGTACCCCATTAATGCAATTACTACACCAGATATATAAGCAATCATTCCAGGTTCTGTTTTCGTTGTAGTATCAATTTCTGCATGACAATGTGGACAAATTGTATGTGTTGATCCTGGTCCAAGTGGAACAATTGTTGTTACTATAGTTGGTCCACTTGTATCTATAACAAATCAATTTTTTAATATACGATTTATCTTTATATATAATTATAATATATAAATGTAATTGTATAAAATAAAACTAAGACATACAGGTTTCTGCAGATGTAAAAGGACTAGCAGGTGGAACACCACCCACTGTTTGTGAATAACCAGGTGGTGCATATGGAGGTGATTCATAAGGTGGTGGTGGTCCAGTATTATACATGGTGTATTATTAGAATTATTAAGTATCTATCTATAATTAAATATAGTTATATAATATGTAAATGAATAACAATAATGAAATTATTAATATATTTATAATCCTAAGTATTTTAATACAAGTATTTAAATAAATATATTTAAAAAATTTCATTATATTATAATAACAAAATAATATATACATATATAATATAAACAAAATAAATAAATTTTATATAATTTATTATTGACTCAATTAGAAATATTTTCATACAATCAAATATGTTATTAATAATAAAACAATTTACCTTTTAAGATTATAAAAAAATATGTATATTTATACTGTAAAATCTATGTTATATTACAAAATATGATTATTCATTAAAAGCAATAAAATAATATAATATATTAAAATAATAATAAAATAAAATAATATAATAATATAATATCATATTTTTAATATCAATTGATTAATTACAAAATTTAATGTCACAATCACAACTGACACTTACACATTCTAGTTTATTATGTTAAGCATAACAAATGACGATAATGTTTCATTAACGTTCATCTAAAAATAGTATACTATAATTTTTCTTACCTTAATAAAAAAATAGTAAATTATTCACTAATTATTTAAACAGTATATGAGTAATATCTAAATATATAATCCATGTGTACAATTTTAATAGGTTTGAAGTATAAATACGAAAAAGGTAACAAATATTTTTATATTTATATATAGATGGCAGATCACAAGTTTCATGAACATTCCATTGAAAATAATATTGATTATTCAAAAATCAAATGTTTTAATTTGTGTTTTAATTAAATTACTTAAATAAATAATCAATAATTGAATGTATAAATATATATAAATTTAATATTTAAAAAAGAAATAATAATTTATTTTATAGATGTTATCTTATATATTACTTTCATTGGTTGAATGTAATATGAAAAGTAAATCGCACTATATGCAATACAATGTATTGCTTGCAATGTGGATTAGTCTTGAGAAATCAATATCATTTTATAATGCATATCTATGTGTATCTAAACCATAGATCAGAACGTGGTATTTAATCATATTTGACACAATAAACAATCATTCATTCAGTGTAAAGAACAGATGTTAAGTGATTTTGTGTATCATTAATTCTTCATCATCTATCTGTTTTGAATGAAAAATATTTTAAATTATTTAAAACATTAAAAAGATTTAATTATTAAATATTATTAAATTTTATATCATTAATTATTCGATATTAAATTTCAAAATTTTTTTTATGTTATATATTTATTGTTTATGATAAGATTTATATCTTATTTCATGTAATATAGTATTTTTCAATATTTTTTAACTTTTTTTTTAATTTTTATAAAAATGAAGATATTGATCAGGTAATAATCTTTTATACTCGAATATTAATAAGCATATTTTTATCAATTTTTTATTATTAATTAACAGAAATATTTCTTAATAAAGTTAAAAAATGGTATTAAGTCGAAATGATAAAAGAAAAAGAAAGGAAGGAGATTTGGTGGATCTTATGGATCCACTCTCAGAATCTCCAAAGAGGTAAATATTTAAGTATTTTAATAACTATTTTAGTATAAAAATATATATATTTCATACAATTATAAATATTCATACAATATAAATAAAATATAATAATTTCTAAAATATACTTTTCAATGATTTAAAAGAATTTTTATTTATTTATGATAGTTATAAATTATTTTATTTATTATTATTTTTCGTTTTTTATATATATTTTATTATTATAGGACTAAAGTACATGCACAGAGAAAATTTGCACAAGGTGCAACAACAGTTTTTAATCCTTCACATACTCCTATTAAGGATAAAGAAAAAACTAAACCAGCAGTTATAACAGAATTAATAACTCATAAGCGACCAAATACAGAAGACTTTTTGACATTTTTGTGCTTTAGAGGTTTTTAATTAATTTTAATTAATCTTTTATTTTATATTTCATATTAATTATATATAATTTGTATGTATTTACATATTATTTATATTTATATGTATAATTAATATAATTAATAATAATTAATTCAAATTTTTGTATAGGAACATCAATTTTACCTCCAAGTTTAAATTTTTTTAATGTTGGTAACAAAAAAGAAAAATTGGATCCTAAGCCAATACGTACTATGATAGATAAAAATATAACTTCAACTAATATATCTGTTGAAAATCAAAAGCCAGAATCAAGTCAGAAAACTACTACTAAAGTAAAACCTGTTATTACTGATAAAAAAAAAGTTCCAAATACAATAAAAAAAAATATTTCAACATTTAAAAGTACAACATCTACTGTACAAGCACTTAAAAAAAAATATCAAGAACAGCGTCTTGCTAAACAAAGAATTAAAAATAAATTTAAAACATCATGTGTTATGAGAACAAGATCTTGTACAGAACGAACATTGTTAAAATCTGTAAATAAATTAGCACCCAGAAAATTTTTACCAAGAATTGAATCTAAAAGACTTGGTTTAAGAAGTAGTGTGCTTGCAGATAAAACAAAAAAAGTTCCATCAAAAGTTAAATCTATACCACCTAAACCAAAGAAAAAAATTATAATGAAACAAAAAGACAGTGATACATCAAATTCAGATTCTACATCTGAAGAAGAAGGTCCTTCAGAAAAATCAGTATCACAGATGAAACGTACAATTCAAAAGACTGTTCAGAAAAACATATGTACAAGAAGTAAATCTGAAATGAGAAGAATTACACGTTCTCATAGTGGTACAATTTCTCCAAAAAATCTTTGTAGAAGACCAACAAGGAAAACTAAAGAAGCAGCTGCAGTATATATGGAAATTTTGGGTCGAAAACTTGTAAGTCCTGATTTAGAAAATGATGATAATGTTTCTATGGATAGTTTTCCAGAATTACCAAATACACGTAAAATTTCTCAGACAGAAAATGAAATTAAAAGTAAAGTAAAACAATCTATTACAAAAACAACTAAAAATAAAGATAATAAAATTTCTTCTATTCATAATACATCAAATAAAAGATTGGATAAAACTAAAACAAATAAAATTACTTTTAAAAGTAAAAGATTAATAAGAGTCCATAAATATTGTGAAGTTGATAGTGATGAAGAATCTATTAGTTCCAATGGAACTAATAATACAAGACCTGTTACAAGAAGAAGTTTAGGAAAATTAAATAAACCTATAAACCGATATCTTAGATCTTCTACTAAAAATGTGACTACAAGAATTGAAATTGAAGATAATGTAAACATTAAATCAAAATCTCAAGTTCAAAATAATTTAAAATTTAATAAGGAAAAATTTGTAATGAAGCGTAAACGAGAACAGAATACGAATAAATCATTATCTGAAAAAATTAATGGATTAAAACAAAAAGAAATAAAAAATACTGTAATTGAAAGTACAGATTCTGATGAAGAAACATTAGGTATGTTACTCAATAAATTAAAAAGAAAAAAGAATGATAATATACAAAAAGATATTATTAATAAAAATAATGATCATAAAGGTGAAGATAAAATTGAACAATCTTTAAAAGAAAATTTAGTCAAAACTGATCTTTCAAAAATATCAGATGATGAAGAATCTTTTCGAGGATTTACAAAGAAAGCAATATCCAAAGTATTAAATTCATGTCAAACACATGTTAATGTTAATCTTCTTGTCACAAAAAAATCGAATGACAAATTAGAAACAACTAAAATAGAAGATGAACAAACTTCAAATGTAATTAATAAACAAGAAGATAAAAAAGAATTGTCAAATAATGAACCTCTATTAAATACAAATTCTTCTTCAATGATACATGTAGTAGATAATCATCAAAAACTTGAAAAAGATAAATTGGAATTGCCTGATTTAGTATCTGATGAAATAGAACATAAAATATCAATGAAAAATAACGAAAAAGAATGTCATCATAAAACAGAAATTTCTTCCATAGATATGTCTTTATCAACATTACATATTAGAAAAGAAAAAGTAAATATGTCAACTGAACAAATTGAAAAATGGTTGAATGAAAGTTCACTTGCTAAAGAAGAAAGTAAATTAGAAATGGAGAATGTATCTACTTTCAAATATGATTGTGAAAAAAAAACTGATATATCACATTTATCAATTTCAACAAAAATTCAACATTTGGTAAGACCAGTTAATGTCACACTTTCTAAACTAACAGAAAAGGCTAATATAAAAGATCGTATAAATACATATAATAAATATGCCCCTATTATAGCAGGAGAATTGCAATCAGATTTAAAACAACACAATGAGTTATCTAATATTAATATTAATAAACATAATACAAATTTTAAAGACATAAATAAAGGATTAAATATAAAATTGAATAAAGATTCATGTTCTGGAGAAGAAGGTGAAATTGCATTAAAATCTGATCACACTTCAGATAATTCAAATGAGAAAAAATTATTAACAGAAAAGAAAACTATATTTCAACCAAGGAAACCATTTTTACCAAAAGTTAAAGAACGTAAAACAGTAACTCCTAATGCAAATGCATTTTCCCCAGAAAATGAAAGCAGTGTTTATGCATTTGAAAGTGATACAGAAGTTCCCGTTAATACTCCTTTTAGACGTAAAATTCGAGAATCTAATAAATCAAACACAAGTTTTAATTTATCTGAAACTAACACAAGTAAATCTGAAAATAATACAAATAAATCTAAGAATAATACAAATAAATTTGATAATAATATAAATAAATCTGAAAATAACACAAATAAATTTGATAATTCAAATAAATCCGAAAATATAACAAATAAATCTGAAAATGAAGTAAATAAAAATATTGAAAAAACAAACAAAAATAATTGTGAACGAACATTTAAAGAAAATTCCAATAATTCTTCAAAAAATGAAAATGAAATAATAGAAATAAAAAATATGTCAAATACTACTTTAAATGTAAATAAATTTGAATTACCAAAAAATTTTGCAACTTTAGCAAATATACAAGTTTTACCACTTGATAAATTAACAACAACTTGGAGTAATGTAAATTGTAGTACATCAATAGCAGTACAAGTAAATCTTGATGATAATGTACAAACACAAAAGCAAATAATAGAAGGAGATGTAAGTCAACAAAAAAGTACAGAAATATCTACTCAAACTGAGAGCAATAATGAAAATGATGATGAAAATGATGGTCAACTATTTTATATACCTTTACGAGCTGTCACAAGAAATGGACCAAATTTAATTCAAGGACAGCAATTAATTCAAGGTGTAGCTGTAAAACTTGGCACTGAAGGACCAAATGGTCCTAATCAAAAAGTTCTTTTAAGAGCAAAATTAGTTACCAAACCTCCATCATCAATAGCACGTTGTCCTCCTATAGGTACAGTGCAACCTACAACTCGTAGCCCTCCCAACTCTACTCTTATAACAACTGATCATTCAATGCCATCTACTTCTTCAAATATTACATCTATTGTTAGTACATCTAATTCTGAATTTCAATCATCTTCTTTAAATAAAAATGAAAATGTACTACAAACAACAAGTAGACAAACTATTGGAACTACACTAAATATAGGAATTGAAAAATTACCAAAATCTCCAAAAACTTCTAGAGAAAGAAAAACTTCAATTGATTCAAATAAGAATGGAAAACGGTAATGTAATTTTAATATGAAAAAAATTGTAATTTCATTTTCTTTAAATCATAATATTAAT